TGGTCAGGCTCGCTGACTTGGATTGTCTGGTCCAGACTCGAGTATTGCCAGACTGCCGTCATATAGCTGGAATATTGCTGAGTGCGGCGTTAAGCAACAAACAAACAAACAAACTACACATATCCTTTATTATGAAGACAACATATTATTCAGATCCTCGTCATTCTATTGTTTGTCTTTTGTTAAATATATTTTTAAAATTATATTTCACAAAAGGTTTAAATATAATATTCTAGACCCACAATGCGCACAAACGTGTGAATGGATGAGGCTAAACGAAGACGTAAGCTTGTTCATGGCTTGTTATTAAATCAACAATTTAATGGTTTGATATATTGTGGGTTTATGTAGTTATATACAAATGGTATAATGTCACTCTAGAACACATATAAAACTGTGCTGTTACATGCGTGAAAAAATACCTCAAGCTTTCTCTGAAAACATACGACCCGTGAAGATGCGGGGTAGAATAGGTCTTCAGCAACCCATGCTTGCCGTAAAAGGCGACTATGCTTGTCGTAAGAGGCGACAAACGGGATCGGGTGGACAGGCTCGCTGACTTGGTTGATGCATGTCATCGATCCGAATTTGCGTGGATCGATGCTCATGATGTTAATCACTGGATTGTCTGGTCCAGACACGATTATTTACAGACCGCCGTCATATAGCTGGAATATTGCTGAATGCGGCGTTAAACAAGAAACCAACCAACCAACTGAAAACATACAGATGACATTGTTCCTCCGTAGGACCATGCAACAACAAATATATAATTGATCGCTGTATACAATTCCATACATAATACAGTTACTCTACAAAACTACGGGGGCACCGATGGCCCAGTCGTCTAAGGTGCCGCGATTCGGTGTACAGAGTTGCGTCCCTTGGGCATGCCAGAAACCTATGATTGTGGGTTTGAATCCCGGTTCGCCCCGATTATGTTTCTAGGTTTGTCAGCACCATACCCGTCTGAGACCTGCATCACTTGGGGCTTTCCTCCCACACTAAACTGACACGCCCCGATATAACTGGAATACTGTTAAACCGGCGTTAAACCGAACTCACACTACAAAACTACAAAAGTAGTTTATGGAACATATGGAAATAGATCATGCAACAACAAATAATAAATGGATACCCTGTTATGAAGATGCAAACATCAAACACTTCCTCGGGAAACAAAATGCTCCCTGAAGAACACTGATCATGGATTATGAAATAACAACACAGTATGTGTTCACGCTGACGAAGTAAAAGCCATTATCAAAAGAAACATTTGTAATCTAACGGCGATCAAAACGTTACACAACCAGTTTAACTCATCTCCTAGGGGCAGTTCTTATACATAACGAAATCTCTTTTCAAGGTGCATATTTGATCAACGAGAAGTCAGTTCAAAGCATAAAATATGCTCGTGAGCGTGTAGAGACGCCCAAAGGAAGTTAATAAGCAATGTTACCAGGGCCGGAATTGCTCTACCGTCGTGCCAATACTGTAACTTGATTGAAACCTCATCAAAAAGTTGTCTATTTGACATTTCATCTGCACATGTTGCGCGTTTGCATGCACGTGCCACAACAGTCAGAGGAAACATGTGTGCTCAGGCGCCCTAGGTCTACTACAATGCCTGTCATTTGCTGTCTAAATATCAGCATTTCACTCCAATGGCAGCTGGAACTGGCGTATACATTGTTATATGGAGGAAGTCCCACTGTTATGCTTCCTCCATCATTGTATATTAATATCATTGGAATTACTTATGTTTCATCTCAGATATGCCACCTGTGGTTCTTAGGAAGAACATCGTTTTAATGGTGCGGTTTATTGCAGACACCGTTTAGGTCGTGAACAGCAAGTTGGTTGAATGTTTTATATGCTTTCCATAAATAATGTAATTGGTATTCCAAAATTAGACTAAATGACTTAAATGTGTCGGCAAGTGCATGTTATGCTGACTCAAGGGATACCATAATATTTTACATGTGTGGTATGACTCATTTTACATGTTTAGGAATTAAATATCATTATCGTGTTCATTTTGCCTGTGTTGTATGACTCATTTTACATGTTTAGGCATTAAATATCATTATCATGTACATTTGCCATCGTGTACATTTACCTGTGTGGTATGACTCATCTTACATGTTTAGGCATTAAATATCATTATCGTGTACATTTGCCTGTGTGGTATGACTCATCTTACATGTTTAGGCATTAAATATCATTATCGTGTACATTTTGCCTGTGTGGTACGACTCATTTTACATGTTTAGGCATTAAATATCATTATCGTGTACATTTGCCTGTGTGGTATGACTCATCTTACATGTTTAGGCATTAAATATCATTATCGTGTACATTTTGCCTGTGTGGTACGACTCATTTTACATGTTTAGGCATTAAATATCATTATCGTGTACATTTGCCTGTGTGGTATGACTCATCTGACATGTTTAGGCATTAAATATCATTATCGTGTACATTTTGCCTGTGTGATACGACTCATTTTACATGTTTAGGCATTAAATATCATTATCGTGTACATTTTGCCTGTGTGGTATGACTCATTTTACATGTTAAGGCATTAAATATCATTATCGTGTACATTTTGCCATGAGCACTAGGATACAGTCTGTCCCATAGATGTGTGACAATAGTGAGTGAGTTTGCTTCATCGCCGCTTTGAACAATATTTCAGTTATATTGCGGCGTACCAGCTTGATCTCTTAGGGAAGCCTGGTGCAATGGAGGTTTTTCACTTGACGAAAAGAAATCGAGCACAGGTATATTGCTGACAAACTGAGAAATATTATCAAGCAATTCGAACCCACGACTATGCATGTAGTTTTCGGTAATGCATTAGAGGCGCAACTCTGCGAAGCGAATTCCGGCGACTGAAACGGCTGGGCCATCCGTTATCCATATCTGTCACTAATACTGCATGAAAATTCCAAAGTATGTACGGCTTGTCAATGTATACATCATCTGGCCTGCGTGTGTATAGTTAACGTTCTCATGTAGGCAATACTTACATGCCTATGATCTATAACAGAATTCTTCTTATATTGCGTAGATATACTCACCGTTCCGAGGTATGCACGACCTACATGTATAGTATCTATGTTGGCCTTACCAATCTAGCCTGCGTAGCCATGGCTCATAAAACCCATGTAGATATAGTTAATGTTCCCATGTAGATGTCACTATAAGTTTTTGTGGGCAAAGGACATATTGCCTGTTTAAATGTGCATATAAGTTCATTTGGTGTATGAGTACACATCTGACTTGACGATTGGTTGTTGGTTGGTTTGTTGTTTAACGCCGCACTCAGCAATATTCCAGCTATATGACGGCGGTCTGGAAATAATCGAGTCTGGACTAAACAATACAGTGATAAATATCATGAGCATCGATCCACGCAATTGGGATCGATGACATGCATCAACCAAGTCAGCGAGCCTGACCACCCGATGCCGTTAGTCGCCTTTTACGACAAGCATAGTCACCTTTTACGACAAGCATGGGTTTCTGAAGACCTATTCTACCCCGGAATCTTCACGGGTCTCTGACTTGACGAGCCGTGACGCTTCTGAGCTGTATAGGCAACATGTTGAAATTTCTTGAGGCATAATGGTTACTCAGGAGTTAGTGATCATGAGTGAGTGAGTGAGTGAGTGAGTGAGCTGGCTATATTTCCGCTTAATGTGCGAGGAAAGCCCAATGTGATGCAGATCACATAGATGAAATCTTCAAGTGCGAATCTGGTGTTGAGAAATAAAAAATAAGAGTCAGGATGAATTTTGGACTCGAACTCACGATCATAAGATTCTGGCAGGGCTAAGGGACACAACTTTGCACGCGAATTAAATGGCCACTGAGCAATCCGTGCTCCAAACAATTTTCGCATCTTTCAACTCGATGGAAACCTAAGCGAAGTACTAGTATGACTAGTAGATGCTGCGGTCTACCATTTTAATATCAATTCGGCTGGCTATATTTGCCCAGATGTTAAGACCCTACCGACCGACCTTGACCCACTTTCACAGGTGGTTATCACGCCACGAACATCTCTGCGGTAGTGGTGATGTTCTTCGCCAAGCTGGCCACCTTTATGCAATACATTCGGCGTTGGCAAAGACGGGGCTGATACCAAGGGTATATATTTCTAATTTATACACTGCTGTGGCATTTCCACTCGGCTTCCAACACACCTAGACAATGTGCTGATAAGACAGATCTGTCCCGCAATTTTTATATTATCCCGGCCACACTATCGGCGTTATCGTTGCATACACCTTTGCCTCTATATCGGGGGTACCTCTAAATGCTTGAGCAATGTGTCTTTTTAAGTGTTCTCTATAGTTTCTGGGAGGGACGATAACGTTTGTGTTTACACGTGCAGTCCGGGTACACAACGTTTCACGGACTATTAAGGAAGGGAACTTAATTGAATACAAATAGCAGGTATTGACTTCACCCACGATAGACGTAACAGAAAACACATGAGGTTATTATAACAAGCCAGGATAATGAGTATAAGATGCATTTACAAAGTTAGTGCACACCGTGGAATCGATTCGTGATGGCATTTTCCTCTTACAACACAGACATCTTTTAAAACAAACTTCCCCTGTGACTTCAGGAAACGGCTACAAGGGTTATGAGTATGAGGTCATGCGTTTCAATTGAAGACACAAGCTTGCATAGAATAAGGCGACATGTTTTTGTTTTTAACTGTGAACACCCCACCCCGTTCGATTTAAACGTTGCTTACTAGACTGTGTCGGTTGGTCAGGCTAGATGACTTGGTTGATTGCATGTCATCGTAACCCAAGGGTGTTTCTCATAATATCTAATCTTCCAATGTGTGGCCAAGAGCTTTTATATGCTAACGTTGTATAGCTGGGATATTGCGGACATGCATAACACAGCATTCACTCACGTACTAACTATGAACAATGTATTTCAAATCAACATTAATCTGGTTTGTCTGTTTCCAGGAAGGTGCATTCTTCTTCATCGAGAACGTGTTTGGAAAGATAGGCGACAAGGCGAGGGTGGTTCAGCGTGTCCTGGCTCCCTTCTACCCCTTCCTCTTCGACGGCATAAAACTCATGGTCAACACCGACGAGGTTATCACCAACTGCGGCTTCTCCAAGGTTGACTTCAAGCGGATCGAGTTCGAACCCCCAATTCCGCTCCTGTTCCCTCTCAGATCCGCCATTTGTGGATCGGCCACAAAGTGAAGTCGTTGATGCGTGGAGGCGTTACGTTCCATCATGTTACGTCATTCGTGACCTACTTTCATGTCAGCTCAAGAAGAACGACCTGGTGGTAATTTCTCGTGCCAAGGTCATGGTCGAGGTCAAGGTCAAGGTCGAAGACTGAGTTTGATGAGTTTGAATCCAGATACGTGTTAGAAGGACTGCACTATTTGGTGTTCATGGTGAATGTGTCTTCCTCCCCGTGTTTCCCCCCCCATTTGAAGGATCCCCGTGCGAGTAAACGAAGCATAAACTCGACTGAGACAGGAGTACGTTACGGATACACACCCATTGCTCCAGTATACCATTCAACCTATCACATTTCCTATTGGAGTTTCTATAGCATATATGCTGCAGTGTAGTAGGGCTTTTACTGTTGTGTTGTGCTAAAGAGGAGGTTCAACTTACTCTAGGATGGTTGGCTGCTTATTACAGTTCTTCCCAATACCAGAATATATATTACCACTGACAAGTCATGTATATATGTTCCAGATATGTGCTTAAGGCTTGCTTTTATGAATCTGGGGCTCACGAGGTTTGAAGATCATAAATGAAAGCTATGAAAGGTGATATGGATGAACACTAACTTGGCGCCAACAAAACAAACAATTGCTGTATTGATATGAGTTTGAGTTTTTTGTAGTTTTTGTTCAGGAGACTGTTGTATTACCTGGAATAAAACCCCATGTTCATCAGTATGTACTTATCTCTATAACGCCCGTTCCACGAAGCGATCTTAGCGCTAAGATAATCGTAACTCCAATAATTCAACACATGCTTACTATTATCGTAGCGCTAAGATCACTTTGTCGAACGAGACCCAGGTTGTTCTCGTTTTTTAGGTGACAATTGACTTGCCTTTGCATGTGTTTGTGACAGGTGCCACCGATGGGGAAGGATGCGTTCACATTTTTTTGTGAACACCTGGTGTCATCACTATTTGATGGTGCTTCATTGACACATTCAGATGACATCATCAGAATCGTACAGTGCTTTTGACAGAGATGTTTGTGATTACGGAAATGTTTCTTGTCGTTTTTAGTAATTGTTTGTGTCCATCCTGAATCAGCCTTAAACACACGTCACATCATTGCAATATGCATGCAGATCTTTACAGTTAGCATCAGAGTGGAGCTTCGATCCAAATGACAACCGAGGTTTGACATGACGAGCGAAGAAGAATGTATAGGGTGTGCATAAGCTCATGCCCAATCTGTATTGCCTAAAACAGTATACTCTTTGTCAGCGTTGAAATATCAGTACAGTTGCAATAGAATGTTTGAAAGCAGAGGTTTAACATTGAGGGCGAAGAATAATATATGGTAAAGATGAGATCATAACCTCGAGATATCAGATATCGATTTTAGAGACTTTGAGATAGCGAGAATCGACCTTTTGTTTTGAAAAAGTACACGTTCTATTTTGCCCGATCTCTGTATCATGATCCTTAATTACGTGGGTATCATGACGATATACTCCTCTCCTGGAAGGTCGCGCATCTGGCTAGATGCCCGGAACGGGATGGAATGGATGGATGGATGATAGTGTATCCAACAAGATAAAACACTACACAGGATCAATTGAAAGAATACCACTGCCCAAACGTGTTGGACAGCATATTATGTCTATGTGAAGTATGTCATTCATCATACTGTTTAAATAAGTATTATTTGACATCGTGTGTAGGAGCGAACATATGAGGTAAGGTGAAATTGGGTTGAACGACGCGTCCAAGAATATTGCACTTATACAGCGACGTGCATGCACGTGTGTGTGTGTGTGTGTGGCTGCTTGTACTAGTCCGGACTGATGCCTTCCGATTTATAGTGCTAGCTCGCTGACATACCATGCCGCAGTTTATCATGAATACCCCACTCAGACACAGTATACCGACTCCGAGCCGACCAGGCCTTAAAGCCTAGCGCCAGACAGGGTAACAACAGGTACCATCTTTTAACGTCTTTTGGTATGACGCGTCCGGGGATCGAACCCCGGACCTTCCGCTCTCCGGACCCTCTACCACTAGACCACGGAGGCGGTCACGAACATATGGGGTTACAATTAGTATGAACGAACAATCGGTATTTTCGTTGCAAATAGTAAGATGAAATATATAAATGGCTATAAGGCATTACAAGCGAGAAAAAAGGTTCCTGCTTAACAAAAGCTATACGCTCGACACTGAAGTTCACACATATGTAGCTGCCTGTTCAAGAGTGCCTATGTTTATATCGACTCTAGCAGTTCATCAAACTTCTCTTTACGCTCTCTTATTTTATTTACTTACAGATGAGATCAGCAGGTGAAGATCTGTGTAACTCGTTAATGCCGTTTCATAGGCCAGCTAATGTGAAGGTCCGGGAAATGTAGATCCCTGAGATGGTTGTGGATCATGTAATTACCCCAAATATTCTCACTTCTTACGTTTTGCCACAATTTCTAGCATTCAGGTATGAATCCTTTGTACACAACACACGAGAGTCTGGGAAATTTAACAGTCGGGGTTATTACATATCACAATTTATCGTTGGTTGGTTGGTTGTTTTGTTGTTTAACGCCGCACTCACCAATATTCCAGCTATATGACGGCGGTCTGTAAATAATCGTGTCTGGACCAGACAATCCAGTGATTTATATCATGAGCATCGATCCACGCAATTGGGATCGATGACATGCATCAACCAAGTCAGCGAGCCTGACCACCCGATCCCGTTAGTCGCCTCTTACGACAAGCATAGTCGCCTTTTACGGCAAGCATGGGTTGCTGAAGACCTATTCACCAACTAATTCCTTCAATCGTACGTTCCAGTTCTGTAAAGTTCTATTTAACTTATTGAGACAGCTTTTGCCGATTATTTGTCAGGTTTCATTGCGTCGGAATGCAATCTATAGTTTGATCAGTAAAATATATTTCAAATTGCTTTTTAGGTCCATAGAACAACTGTAATTCGAAACCTAATATAGGTAACAGAGCAGCGAGAGAAACACTGACAGGAGCTCCATGATTTCAGCAGAGGCAAAATTAACTGCAGGCACGAATGGGGTATTCTCTCTAGTCATGGTTCACTGAAAGGTTTTGTATGGAAGTATGGAAGTGTCAAGTGTCAGGAAGTAAAAACAACGTCCGATAATCCAGGAAGGGAATAAAAAATCTAATAGAGAAGACAACCATTCGATCTGTTAACTCGGTGGTCCAAGGTAATCGTAACCACATGAGTTATTCAAATTCGAGACATACGAGGTTGCGACATCACCTATCATCACTTATGTTATTTTTGTAATGACACCGACAAGGCACTATTATGCTTGCTTGAAGTAGATTAATTGAATACAAGGCTTGTCAAAGTAAAACCATATGAGGGTGAACCACTGTAGTTTTGTTTAACCGTATATAAGTCATCATCTTCGGTATCCCTTCAGTCCTAAGACACCGATATGCCAGTTGTGTCCAATCTGTTTGATAGCTATGCCCGGACCTCCTGTGCGTGGGAGAGTCTTCATTATGTTGACCCATCCTTACCCAGAATCCATTGTGTCCACCCAATGCTCATTTACTCACCTCACATGTCAGGCATGAGTGGGAATAGAATTGCCCAGTGAATTTTAAGACTTGTTTATCAATTAAGTTTCCGTTGTTAATCAACTGTGGTCTTCAAAAGCATCTCTGTCAAATCGGAAAGTGACACTGCAATTTAAGAACTATCTTGGGTAATTGCAATCTGGTCCTGGTTGGTTGAGCAATATCTGATATGCTAATTCCCAGACATTTTGAATAGAAAGCCATTGATTCCACACATAAACTACCTGAATATACGCTCTGTTGTTATACATCCAGAGCGAAAAAGTTTGAATATTCGTAATAAAAAAACATAATATACATATATAGCAACAACTCATATGAGTATCGAACAGGCAAGGTCAGTTTCAAAGTTATGCTTAGCAATAGACAGCTTTGAAATTACTTGTGTCAGCATTTCTTTTGAATAGGAGATTGCACATAACTTAATATCAATGGAATTATTATATATATATATACTTGCCGCGGACTACTATAAAACTTATATATAGGGCTAGCTGTATAGTAACCTCGATCTTCTTGGAAGCTGTCAATGGAGTCCGTTCTCACTCGTTCTCGAAAACATTTGGAGCAATCTCTTCATTCGTTAGTATACGTTTCTATGATTTGGTTTGTTGGTTTGTTGTTTAACGCCACACTCAGCAATATTCCAGCTATATGACGGCGGTCTGTAAATAATCGAGTCTGGACCAGACAATCCAGTGATTAATATCATGAGCATCGATCGACGCAATTGGGATCGATGACATGTATCAACCAAGTCAGCGAGCCTGACCACCCGTTTCTATGAATAACAGAGGTATGAGTCTAATATCTCTAATGCTTTGGACGTTTCGATAATGTCTTTTGCTTTTCTTTCTTCCAATATACGCAAACCATAGGTACACTACTGCCTAAAAGTTCATTCCCCTAACACGCGTTGAGAACGCGTGTAACACGCATATGACACTGGTGAGCAACGGGTGTGCAGCGCGTGTGCAACCCGTTGAGCACGCGTGAGTCACTCGTTGCACACGCGTGTGCCATACGTGTAACACGGGACCGGGTTTCTGTTGAAGTTGGAAAATATATTAAAAGAATAGTGAGATAAATCAAAACAGTGAGATGTGAATCTTGAGTTAACGAGCCGCCATTGACCTGTGTTCACCAGACCATGAACACAAGGTCGGCCCGTCTTAATTAGTGTTCCGTTGTTGGACTTTTATGGCATGAACCATTCCAGAAGGGTCCAGTCTAGCCATTGTGGCTACCCGACAGTAGAACAGCAGTAGGTTTAGAAGCGAGTTTATTGCTAGGGAAATCCCCGAGTTGACACGATTGTCGCGGGTTGGTAAATGCTCGCCATTAGTGAAGTGATTGTTTGTGGATTGCGGACATATTCGTTTTCAGTTTTGCCCACGTTAGTCATTGAGGGTGACTATGAATATAATGTTTTTCGTTCGCCAAATTCATGCTTTAGATAGTACAATTATGATAGAACAGTCATCACTACTTATGTCTTATTATTTCACGTAGGAATATGTCCCATTTTCCCACACCCCACTTTCTGTTTGGTATTTTGTAAGAATTATTAAGAGAATGTTTAGTGTGGGACTTAACATTTATCACTAATTCTAAGAGGATATTGGAAATGATTATGAACAGCCATGTTGTCTCACTGTTGATAGAATTTTAGATCTTCACAATGACCGGGTGTGACCATGTAGACAGAATCTCGTTAAGGTTTGTGATTTTTACATTTGTCCAATGACCATGGTGAGGATTGTTGGGGATACCAAAGGTGACAGTTTACTATTAGAGGAAATTGGTTGTGAGTACTTATACCATTTGGATAGGATATCTTTAGGATTTTAATCCTTTCATTCTCTGTGGGTAATCCTTTCACGTTGATGGAAGGAAGTCACTCAACCAGGTCATGACAATGGTTATGCGCAAGGCTCGGAATCAAGAAAAGATCACTAGAGGTGTTGATGGAGGCTGGACATGCAGCATACAGCATTTCCAGTGTAGGCTGGCACCTCGTCTTTGTTTCACTCGGTATGTAAAACCTTGACCATTCACAGGTGCATTTGTCTATTTACAATGAAGTTGTTTGGCGTTCCCAGTATTTATATACTA